ACACTGAAGCACCCTCATGGCGACACTGAAGCACCCGCATGGCGACACTGAAGCACCCTCATGGCGACACTGAAGCACCCTCATGGCGACACTGAAGCACCCGCATGGCGACACTGAAGCACCCGCATGGCGACACTGAAGCACCCTCATGGCGACACTGAAGCACCCTCATGGCGACACAGAAGCACCCGCATGGCGACACTGAAGCACCCGCATGGCGACACTAAAGCACCCGCATGGCGACACTGAAGCACCCGCATGGCGACACTGAAGCACCCGCATGGCGACACTGAAGCACCCGCATGTCGACACTGAAGCACCCGCATGGCGACACTGAAGCACCCGCATGGCGACACTGAAGCACCCGCATGGCGACACTGAAGCACCCGCATGGCGACACTGAAGCACCCGCATGGCGACACTGAAGCACCCGCGTGGCGACACTGAAGCACCCGCATGGCGACACTGAAGCACCCGCATGGCGACACTGAAGCACCCGCATGGCGACAATGAAGCACCCGCATGGCGACACTGAAGCACCCGCATGGCGACACTGAAGCACCCGCATGGCGACACTGAAGCACCCGCATGGCGACACTGAAGCACCCGCATGGCGACACTGAAGCACCCGCATGGCGACACTGAAGCACCCGCATGGCGACACTGAAGCACCCGCATGGCGACACTGAAGCACCCGCATGGCGACACTGAAGCACCCTCATGGCGGCACTGAAGCACCCGCATGGCGACACTGAAGCACCCGCATGGCGACACTGAAGCACCCTCATGGCGACACTGAAGCACCCTCATGGCGACACTGAAGCACCCTCATGGCGACACTGAAGCACCCTCATGGCGACACTGAAGCACCCTCATGGTGACACTGAAGCACCCTCATGGCGACACTGAAGCACCCTCATGGCGACACTGAAGCACCCTCATGGCGACACTGAAGCACCCTCATGGCGGCACTGAAGCACCCGCATGGCGACACTGAAGCACCCTCATGGCGACACTGAAGCACCCTCATGGCGACACTGAAGCACCCTCATGGCGACACTGAAGCACCCTCATGGCGACACTGAAGCATACACATAACGCCATGACCTACTTCCCAGGAGTAGGGTTTAAGGCCTGTGAAAAGTCTATGTACGTCATTGCTACTCTTGAAATATACCTAACCTGCTTGATGGGGTTCTGGGAGTTCTACTCCACAAGCCCGGCCCGAGGCCAGGCTTGACTTGTGAGAGTTTGGTCCACCAGGCTATTGCTTGGAGCGGCCCGCAGGCCCACATACCCACCACAGCGCGGTTGGTCCGGCACTCCTTGAAGAAAACTATCTAGCTTTCTCTTGGAGATGTCCACGGTTTTTCCGGCAATATTTCTGTGGAAACACTTTCCCCTGTATTTGGAATGGTTTGGAGTCCTTGTACCTTTTTATGCCAACTTCGAGGTTAACTCAGAAGCTGGAGCCCCTGGGAGAGTTAGATGTTGCCTTTAACCTCGTTCTGACAGTTCCTGCGACGGCGCTGGAACCAATCGTATTGGCGTTTGCCTTTGAATTGAAGACTTTTGGCGCCGTGGAGAGGGGGAACCTGCTGCTTGGGTGACAGCTTCTCCATATCAACCTACCCTGGCTTTGTGCCCTGGAGAGGCCACTCCAGACCGACAACCAGAGCGCAACTCCATAATTTCCTAAGACTGATGAACGCCTACTATTTCTCAAACCCAACCCATTCCTAACCAAAGAGAGATGAAATGTTGAGGTTTATAAACTGTGCGCACGAGGCGTGTGACGTCACTATGACGTTACAATGTTCATACCGGGGCAGGTTTTGGATCCTACTACCTGGATGGTGCTCTGCTGAGACTGTGACGTCATCACACACCCAGCTTGTTTTATTTACGCGCTGGCCAATACTGGTAATTGTTTTATGGCGTCTTTACATCAACACACACACACACACACACACACACACACACACACACACACACACACACACACACACACACTGTACCACATCACGACATGTTCCTCCAGCCACATCACAGCCCTCGCCGGCCAGCTGCATAATAATCACTGCATCTTGCCGCTGCTTGCTGGCAAGATGCAGTGCTCACAGCGCTTTCCGGTCAAAACATGCAAATCAGAGCGCCTGCAGGCACAGCACACAACTCACTGCTTGCCCGGATAACACCACAAACCACAGCGGCCGCCGGCACAATGCGGAGAGAACGACTCCCTGACCAATGTTGAAGAAGAGAGCGGTGGTGGAGGCAGGTGGGCGCCGAGGGTAATCTACCAATCAAGTTACCTGAGGTAGTGGGCTCCCCGACCTTGCTCCACCCCATGATGTGGGTCACGGCTCATGGCAAGGTCAACACCGCATCATCAATACACCAACTGCAGCATAGCCGTGGATAATTCTCGCCCCCTCCCCCCCCCCCCCGACCCCGTCAGCAGGCCCTGCCTTCCAATACGCGCCGCCACACGCATCAACACACGGAATGTCAAGCACGCTGGTCAGCTGGCCGGGCGCGGGGGTGCTGCCCCCCCTTGCGTGCGTCCTCATGGGTTTAGGTGCTGGGGAGTCACGAAGGTAGGGGGGAGGAGCAACGAAGGGAGGGGGTGGCGCGTCACGAAGGGAGGGGGAGTAAAGGGAGCGGTGACACGAGAGAAGAGGAAGATGTAAACAATCGTTGCTTTAGCAGCGGTGACGACAGCAAGACGACGGCGATGACGACGCGGCGGCGGCGGAGGCGGCGGCGGCGGCAGCAGCAGCAGGACGACACTGCGCCCCCCCCCCATACGACCCACATGCCACCCCTTCTCTCATGACGACCTTACACACCCTCACAAGTTACAGCCCCGCTCCTGTGCCAGGTAAGTCCACTACGGGCTCACCATAGCCCGTGCTACTTGGAACGTTTTGTTCCCAGTAGCTGAATCTTAAACAACAAACCCTCACCACTACCCCATGTAGTGAGGATAGTTGTGAGTACAACGACCCTACACACCTTAAGGGAGACGGGAACACATCACAGAAGTAGCAAGGTTGTGAGTCACGACCCGCGGCGACAGTTACACACCCAAACAGGAATCGTGTACCGGGGTCCAGCGAGAGGTACACACAAGCAACACGGGACCTTGTACAGGGGTCCAACGCCAGGTACAGCTATGCACAAGCAACAAGAGGCCGTGTACGAGGGTCCAGCGCCAGATACAGCTATGCACAAGCAACAAGGGGCTGTATACGAGGGTCCAGCGCCAGATACAGCTATGCACAAGCAACAAGAGGCCGTATACGAGGGTCCAGCGCCAGATACAGCTATGCACAAGCAACAAGAGGCCGTGTACGGGGTCCAGCGCCAGATACAGCTATGCACAAGCAACAAGAGGCCGTGTACGAGGGTCCAGCGCCAGATACAGCTATGCACAAGCAACAAGAGGCCGTGTACGGGGTCCAGCGCCAGATACAGCTATGCACAAGCAACAAGGGGCCGTATACGAGGGTCCAGCGCCAAATACAGTTATGCACAAGCAACAAGAGGCCGTGTACGGGGTCCAGCGCCAGGTACAGCTATGCACAAGCAACAAGGGACCTCAACTGGGAAGAAACCTTGAATAAATGGAGAGCAAAAACTTGGACAAGCTGACTTCTCTCTCAACACACTCCCGCAGCAGCAACACTTACCCTGTCCCTCGTGCCTTGTACCTGGTTCCTTCTGTCTTATACCTTGTCCCTCGTGCCTTGTACCTGGTTCCTTCTGTCTTATACCCTGTCCCTCGTACCTTGTACCTGGTTCCTACTGTCTTATACCTTGTCCCTCGTGCCTTGTACCTGGTTCCTACTGTCTTATACCTTGTCCCTCGTGCCTTGTACCTGGTTCCTTCTGTCTTATACCTTGTCCCTCGTGCCTTGTACCTGGTTCCTTCTGTCTTATACCTTGTCCCTCGTGCCTTGTACCTGGTTCCTTCTGTCTTATACCTTATCCCTCGTACCTTGTAGCTGGTTCCTCGTGTAGCTACCTTGATAACGTTACGTTCGGATAAGACGGGTAACTGTGCCAGGCCTAGCAAGCAACACCAGGCGGCTGTTTATACTAATCATTCTTACTTCGTTATTTGTGGGTCAATTTCTATGTAAACCTAGCGAATGTATATAGTATGCCGAAGGTAGACAAGACAATGCCTGCCCGTCTCTTGGTTTACTCTCACGCCAACTAATAGGTCGTGTAAAGTTACTGTAAACCATTCAGTGAGAAGATGAGGAGCAGCTCAGGTGTAGATTTACTCAAAGACATAAGCCTCCTACACACACTCCAGGTACTACACACACACACACACACACTTGTATACCACATGTAAGACCAATCCTGGAGTATGCGGCTCCAGCATGGAGCCCATACCTTGTCAAGCACACGACGACGCTTGAAAAAGTTCAGAGGTAAGCCACTAGGCTAGTCCCAGAACTAAGAGGCATGAGTTACAAGGAAAGGCTGCGTAAAATGCACCTCACGACACTGGAAGACAGAAGAGTAAGGGGAGACATGATCACTACCTACAAAATTCTCAGAGGAATTGACAGGGTAGATAAAGTTACTCTGTTTAACACGGGTGGTACGCGAACAAGGGGACACGGGGGAGACCTGAGTACCCAAATGAGCCACAGGGACGTTAGAAAGAACTTTTCAGTGTCAGAGTAGTTAACGGGTGGAATGCACTAGGAAGTGATGTGGTGGAGGCTGACTCCATACACAGTTTCAAATGTAGATATGATAGAGCCCATTAGGCTCAGAAATCTATACATCAGTTGATTGACAGTTGAGAGGTGGGACCAAAGAGCCAGAGCTCAACCCCCGCAAGTTCTACTAGGTGAGCACACGCGCGCGCACACACACACTCCAGGTACTCTAGTCTGCTACACTTCATCAATAACTAGTGTGTAGCGGTACTCCAGGGTTCCGGATGGACACGTTAACACTGTGAAAGGACTTACCTTGAGTGCAGCGACGGACGCTAAACGCTCTATCCTGGAGCGACGTAGTGACGGTGGTGGCGACTGACTGACGACAGGCTCTAGCCCTATCCTCGACAGGTGTATCAAAACACAGTAGGTAACTATCCTCTACGACGGACTGTAGACACCAAACGTATAGTCGACCGATATATCACCGGACGTTACCCACTAGGTTTGACCGTCGTATCGTCAGACGCTAGGCACTATGGACGGACACGAGCCCTATCGTCGAGCGATGTATGGACGGACAGAGGCACCAACGTACACAGTCATGCACAGTACGAGCACTGAGCAGCACCGGTGTGTGAGAGAGGATCTGCGCACACGAGTCAGCTGAGCAGAGATGGGTCGTCCCACGCGGCCAGTAGCACCAGACGGAGCGACCTCTCACCACCACATGCTCCCTCACTCTGTCCTGCCCTCCACACATGTCGTCCCCCAGAACCTTGTCTCCCCCCCCCACGCCCCCGCTACCCTCCCTAACAACCTTCCCCCACCCGCAGCTATCCTCCCTCCACACCCATCCCCACCATACCATCCCACCAACCCCCCAAACTCTGCCCCAACACCCAATCACCTTCATAATACCCCCCTCCTCACACCCCCGGGGAACACCACCACCACCCACCCCTCCGCCAATATTTACATGACGTCAGTATGTGTCTTGCCTGGCCCCTCCAATGAAGGTTTATCAAACATTAATTCAGTACATCATTGTTCTGCCGGCGAAATTACCCAAGGAAAACAGGAAGGCAAGATTTTTGCTTGCGCCAGGACCAAATGTCAGCCAGACGTTCCCGAAGGGAAGGGCGAGTTGCAGCTCTTGGGCCCCGGCTTAAAGTCGGCGTTTGCCTATTACAATGTGTGTATTCACTTATTTGTGTCTGCATGATCGCGCTTTTAGCTTGAGGACCCCACCATTCCACCAGCCGGTTGTATAATGACTGCCGATCTATTTTCTCTATATAATCTACTAGGTCAGCTACTGACCAGCCCCAGAATGCAACCCACTACAGCTGTCTAACTCCAGGATATATTTTTACTGCTGCGTCAACAAGGTGAATGGAAATATTGCCCAAACGCTTCTGTCCGGGGATCGAACCCACGTTCATCTTTTATGAATCGACAACATAGACCAGTGTGCTACAAACCCTTTGTGGGTGTACTCACCTAATTGTGCTTACGGGGGTTGAACTTCGATTCATTGGTCCAGTCTCTCAACTGCCAATCAACTGCTGTACACTTTAAACCTGACATTCCTTTCGTGATTATAGTTATTATGTTGACCAACCTTGCATATGCCTTTTGATGTGGGCTTCGGGGGCCAGGTTAGGTGTGATATCAAACGCAGATCTCTCTCTTCCGATTCTTTAAGTCTTTCATCTCCTGTTTGGTACCTTGTGTCAGACCTTCTGATTCCTTCACCTAGTTTCATTACTTTGCATATACTTTTATTAAGCTCAAGTAGCCATGCGTTGAACCATTCACTCACTTTTTCTTGGTCATCTTGTAGTCTGTTGCTTCCTTCTTATCTTAATCCTTCTCGCGATTTTTGCATCAGCAAACATTAAGGGGAGTGTATTCCTTCTGAAAAATGAATTACACATATGATAAACAGATAGATCTTAGTACTAAACCCTGTGGGACTCCGCTGGTGACATCTCGCCACTCTGAAATCTCATTCCTCACATTAACTTGCTGACTTCTGTTCCTTAGATACTCCTTTATCCACTAAGGCACCTTCCCTGTCACTCCCGCCTGCTTCTCCAACCTATGAAGTAGTAGTCTCTAATGAGGTACTGTGTCAAAAACTTTCTGGCAATCTAAAAATATGCCGTCCGTCTGCCATCTCTATCATAGATTGTGTTTAAACGTGCGAGGCAAGATTAATCATCCATGAATCCATGTTGGAGGTGTGTTACAAAGTCCCTTCTCTCCAGACGTGCTACTTTTTTTTACACTCTTTTTCATAACCTTGATGGTAAGCAAATTAAAGCACTGGCCTGTAGTTAGGAACTATCTCTTTATAGTTTTCCTTTGATATGCCAGCCTTTTGCTTTCTGGTGCCTTCCTTGAATAGGGTGCTCCTACTTCCACCAGAGACTAATGTGTGTGTACACTATGATCGCTCCTTCCCATGAGGCTCTCCCCTTGTGTCAGACTCACAGTGAATATCAGCTCAATCTAGTCGGCTCGCTTTTTACCTTTCATTCTTGTAGGTCCCTGGGATATATTGCTTAAAAAGCTTCTTGTTGTCACATCCAACAGTTTGGCTCTCCATGTATCTGTGCCGCTGCCTTATTTCCTCCTTTATGGAGTGGTGTTATCTCTGCTGTTTTCAGTATGTCAGGGATAACGCCCCAATATCTAGGCTCGGTCTCCAAAGAATGTGAAGGGCCTGCGATAGTGGTTATTTACAGTTTTTGGTGAATATAGTTTCGAGAATCAGGTGTGAGCCTGGTGCAGAGTGCATAGGCATACTGTCTATGGCTTCTTCAAAATCCAGTGGGGATTGTGTGTGTGTATTCACCTAGTTGTATTCACCTAGTTGTGTTTGCGGGGGTTGAACTTTGCTCTTTCGGCTTGCCTCTCAACTGTCAATCAACTGTTTTACTAACTACTTTTGTTTTTCCACACACACACACACACACCCCAGGAAGCAGCCCGTGACAGCTGACTAACTCCCAGGTACCTATTTACTGCTAGGTAACAGGGGCATTCAGGGTGAAAGAAACTTTGCCCATTTGTTTCTGCCTCGTGCGGGAATCGAACCCGCGCCACAGAATTACGAGCCCTGCGCGCTATCCACCAGGCTACGAGGCACACACGAGGTGTGTGTGGCTGTGTCCGTGCGCTCGCGCGCAGACGGGTGTACTCACCTAGTTGTGCTTGCGGGGGTTGAGTTCTGGCTCGTTGGTCCCGCCTTGTGTGTGTGTGTGTGTGTGTGTGTGTGTGTGTGTGTGTGTGTGTGTGTGTGTGTGTGTGTGTGTGTGTGTGTGTGTGTGTGTGTGTGTGTATATATATGCACATGTGCTCCAGTTTGTATATATTACAGAGGGGTTTGCAGGAACACGACGGATCGAGCGTTGACACTACTGACTGGAGCCTGGTGGCTGGCCTGAGTTACTGGAAGGTGGCACTTTATCCCATGTCTGGAATGCGTCAGCTGATACAACTGCTGGAATGAGTCAGCTGTAGTTATGGATTGGGAGAGCAAAACGGGCTTCACAAACACTTAAAATCGAGCCGCTAATGTTGGGTATGATTCTGGAGACAGCACCACACAGCCGAGACATTTTAACCAAATACAGGGGGACATTTTAACCAATTACAGGGACATTTTGACCAATTTCAGGGACATTTTGACCAATTACAGACACACATTTAGTACTTCATCTCATTGGCTTACGATTCAGTGACAAAAATAGCCTTATTTTAATAACACTTATACAGAAAATCAGAACAAGGCAGGCAACATATATTTCATGTTAGAGAATCCGGAGAGTGGACGTAATAAAGCTGCTGCATCGTCCAACATGAACACGTCCAACACGAACACGTCCAACATGAACACGTCCAACATGAACACGTCCAACACGAACACGTCCAACACGAACACGTCCAACACGAACACGTCCAACATGAACACGTCCAACATGAACACGTCCAACACGAACACGTCCAACACGAAGACGACCAACACGAACACGACCAACAAAGGTAACAAATAGATTTGTTTTACCTGGAGAGAGAGAGAGAGAAAGACAGGGTCCGTAGACAGCAATGGTTCCTGTCTACTTGAAGTTATTGCAGTCTAATGTTTCCTGTGTTTAATACATATATTTGAAACTGGGCGAGTTTGACTTGTACATCCCCCCAATAACGCGGCTGAAGAACCGATGACCAAACCACTCACCAGAAGATGGAGAAAACCACTATGTTTCGGTCCGTCTTGGACCATTATCACAATCGACTTGTTAATGGTCCGGGACGGACACAAACGTCGTCGTCTCCTCGTTTTCTGGTGTGGGGTTTGGTCATCATCTTGTCTTTTCTTGTAATGATCATTACACGAGTTGGGGATATGTGTGAAGAATGTTGTGGAGGTGACCTTGGGGGGGGGGAGGAGGAGGAGGCCCCTGGAGGCCTTCCTCATGCACCAGGCACTGGTGGTGGTGGTGGTGGTGGTGGTGGTGGTAGTGCTAGTGGTGGTGCTAGTGGTGGTGCTGCTGGTGATGGTGGTGGTGGTGGTGCTGGTGGTGGTGGTGCTAGTGGTGGTGCTAGTGGTGGTGGTGGTGGTGCTAGTGGTGGTGGTGGTGGTGCTAGTGGTGGTGGTGGTGGTGCTAGTGGTGGTGGTGGTGGTGGTGGTGCTAGTGGTGGTGGTGGTGGTGCTAGTGGTGGTGCTAGTGGTGGTGGTGGTGGTGCTAGTGGTGGTGCTAGTGGTGGTGGTGGTGCTAGTGGTGGTGCTAGTGGTGGTGCTGGTGGTGGTGGTGCTAATGGTGGTGCTGGTGGTGGTGCTAGTGGTGGTGGTGGTGGTGCTAGTGGTGGTGGTGGTGGTGGTGGTGCTAGTGGTGGTGGTGGTAGTGCTAGTGGTGGTGCTGGTGGTGGTGGTGGTGGTGCTAGTGGTGGTGCTAGTGGTGGTGGTGGTGGTGCTAGTGGTGGTGCTAGTGGTGGTGGTGGTGGTGCTAGTGGTGGTGGTGGTGGTGGTGGTGGTGGTAGTGCTAGTGGTGGTGCTGGTGGTGGTGGTGGTGGTGCTAGTGGTGGTGCTAGTGGTGGTGGTGCTAGTGGTGGTGCTAGTGGTGGTGGTGGTGGTGCTAGTGGTGGTGGTGGTGGTGCTAGTGGTGGTGCTAGTGGTGGTGGTGGTGGTGCTAGTGGTGGTGCTAGTGGTGGTGGTGGTGGTGGTGGTGCTAGTGGTGGTGGTGGTGGTGCTAGTGGTGGTGCTAGTGGTGGTGGTGGTGGTGGTGCTAGTGGTGGTGGTGGTGCTAGTGGTGGTGCTAGTGGTGGTGGTGGTGGTGCTAGTGGTGGTGGTGGTGGTGCTAGTGGTGGTGCTAGTGGTGGTGGTGGTGGTGCTAGTGGTGGTGCTAGTGGTGGTGCTGGTGGTGGTGGTGCTAGTGGTGGTGCTGGTGGTGGTGGTGCTAGTGGTGGTGGTGGTGGTGCTAGTGGTGGTGCTAGTGGTGGCGGTGGTGGTGCTAGTGGTGGTGCTAGTGGTGGTGTGGTGGTGGTGGTGCTAGTGGTGGTGCTAGTGGTGGTGCTAGTGGTGGTGCTGGTGGTGGTGGTGCTAGTGGTGGTGCTGGTGGTGGTGGTGCTAATGGTGGTGCTGGTGGTGGTGCTAGTGGTGGTGGTGGTGGTGGGGCAGGAGAGGCGTGGGCTGGAGGGAGAAGGTTGTCTCGTGTGTGGGGGAAA